ACACACACACACACCCCATCCTGTGGCCCAGCATCGACATAGAGCTTCTTCCTCACTGAAGACCCTGTGAGTGACGGGCTGGGGGGTGGTGACAGGCAAAGCAGAGTCCCCTGGGAGCTGAAGAGAAATCCTACAGAGGGCTGCAGGTGGCTGTGCAGGACGTTAATAACCTCACTGAGAGAGGCACTCTGTAGACATGGATCACAAGCTCTCCTGGTTTACTAGCGGCAGGCAGGTCTACCACCGGAGCTCCCTCCTGTATCATTGGGAACATCCCCAATCACGCAAACGAGGAGCTGGGACTCTGTCAGACCTGATAGGCTCAGTGTGCCTGCCCTTCAAGTGGCCAAATCATCCAAAAATTCCTAGAGGCTCAATTTTGTCACTATTGAATCCATGTCCCCCAACCAGGAGGCACAGACTGCCCAGGAAGCCTGTGCTTTCGAGATAGTTGCAGGTTCTGGATGACATCCTCCTGTCCCTCAGCCTAATAGGTCCCAGATGCTCTCCTTCCCTGACCCACGCTGCCCCCAGCCTGTTCTGGAACCCTGCCATTTAGCCCCGAGCTTCCCAGCCAGCCACTACACCTTTTTTTTTTTTTTTTGGTAGTTGTTTTTAATTGAAACATTTTGTTCACCCGGACATGATGGCTTGACAGAGGCCAGCGCGAGATGGGCTGTTTCTCCCTGGATGGGAACCAGAACACAGAGTGATACTGGCAGATGAGCGAGGGGAGAGAGGAAGTGGCTTTGGGGGCCATAAGGAACCATTGGGGAAGCATCAGGCGACCATGTTGGCAGAGCATGAAAGGGAGCAGAAGTGGCTAGCCTCTAAGCTGACACGGTCAGGTCAGCAGGGGCTAAGGGGATGCACAGCCGGGACCCCTCCCCTTGGGACCGTGGGGCCTCCATAGCTCCTTCTACAGGAATGCCATCCAGGCTGTCTCTTGTCACTACGTCCTCTCCTACCCTCTTGGCTCCCACCCTCACAATGCTTGAACTTGTAATTCTTGGTAATGAGAGCAGGCTGCTGCCGAAGTCCGGTGCAGGAAGAAGGAATGTGGTGGTGGGGAGAGGGGAGTCCGTGGAGAGAGAGGGTTGGACCCAAGACTGAGAAGTGGGTGTTAGGAAAGCAGTAGTGGGCTGCAGACCCACGAGGGCAAGATGTCTGACTCAGAGCCTAACAGAAACCAGGCCAGGCCAATAGACATCAGGCTGCCTCCCTCCCCACCCCCGCTCCTTTTGCCAGTTTTCCATTGCATGTCCTGGGAAAGCCTGCAGGAGTGGTGAGCATGCTAAGAGCATCAGTCTCTCCAGCGTCTTCTGTGACCTTTCTGCTCATGTATTGGAGGCCACCAAGGAACAACCTGGAACGCAAACACTGGCAGGACCCCAAGAATGCAGTTTGACAGTCGGGAAGGTGAGGGGTGGGGACCACTAGACCCCTCTCCGTACTAAGCCTGGGGTCCCAAACCCTGCGTTTCTTATCCAATAATAAAAATAGGGAAACAAAATAAAGGAGAAATGGATTACACCGGCAAGAGTGAGCCAGGAAAAGAGGAACTTTGAAGACCAGATGGAAACCCGTTTGCCAAAGAATTCTTGGATGTTGTTTCTAAGGTGACCTCCCCACGTCTCCCTCTGGCAGCAGTGACACTGACCAGCCCTTTTCTCTCTTTTTCAGGACCTCCTGTAAGTACAGGCTGCAGCTGGTCCCCGCGTGTGCGTCTCAAAGGCCTGTGTCATCTATGGTAACAGGGCCCTGGGTGGGGCGCTGACAGCCAGCCCCCCTGCTGTCTTCCAGGAGGGTCCTTCCTTGTGTGCCACAAAGATTGGAGTACTCCGCATCCCCTCTGGGCAAGACAATGGCCACCCTGTCCTGCTGGCCTCCATTTCATTCTAGAAGATCGGCATACCCCTTCTTGGCTATTTTGTCCTACCTCTTTCAAACACACACACACACACACACACACACACAAACAACACTCAAAGAAATGGTAGCTATCAGAAAGAAGAAAGATTACCCAGCTGGGTTCTCCCAGTGTCTTTGTGCCATGCAGAAAGCAGGTCAGGACACAACTCCAAACTAGAGAGACTCCAGAGTGCCATCCACACCCCTGCGTGGGCAGCCCCATTCTGGCCAGGCCCCGAGGGGCGGCTGAGGCTGGTGGTGGCAGTAGAGGCAATGTATCCTGCCTTCTGGGCCATAGTCCCAACGTGGGCAGGGAGCTGGACCTTTTCCAGTCGCCGAGAGAACCCAAGGAAAACACCTTCCTAAGGTAAAGGACCCAAAACCAGAATCACATGCTCTTTGAGGGACAACATTTGATAGCCCGAAAAAGACCTGAGGGTACTGGCTCAGAAAGGGCCCAGACACTTCACATCAGATCTTTCTCAAGGTTACTGAATTCTGCCCCACCCCTCCCTCCTGGCCCTCCCTCCTGAGTTGCTGTGAGGTGGCTTTGGGGCTGTGAGGAACCAATGGAAGCCAGAGGAAGAGAATACCCTGCTTGAGAAACCAGTGCACCCGATTGGTTTTTAAATTGGTTTTATTGAGCTATACATTTTTCTCTGCTCCCCTCCCTTCCTCCCCTCTTCTCTTCTACCCTCTCCCATGACACCCCTGATTCTTACAGAGACCTTTATTCAGTACTCTGTGATTACCCTGAAATCCCAACCCCCACCCCTAAGTACCTTGTCTGATAGCAGTCAAGGAGGAAGTGCATTATCATAGTTAGTTTAGGGATGTCAAATGGCCATTCCTGTCACTCATCTTCCAGAATAGATTGCAGGGACTGGGGTTGTGGCTGAGTTGGTAGAGCGCCTGCCTAACATGCGTGGAACTCCAAGTTTAATCCCCAGCATAAATCCCAGCACTTGAGAGGTGGAGACAGGAAGATTCAAGGTCATCCTCGGCTATATAGAGTTCAAGGCCAGCCCAGGCTACCTAAGACTTTGACTTTTTTATAAAGGAACTGTGACAGGCTGCCTGCCGACTTGGGGCCATATATCCCTTCCTTTTTTTAAAGACGAGAGCCCACATCTGCCTCATCCTGAGGACACTCCAGAGGGGGCAAGAACTTTAGCATCCTCAGAGTTGTGTCAGACTGTCTGGCGTGCTGTTCCCAGCCAGAGTAGATAGTGTCGTTCCTGGATTCTGGGGATTGACAAAGGAAGTGGGGTACAAGTCCCTACTTAACAGTCTCTACCTTCCTGAGCTGTGGCTCAAAGGACAAAGTCCAGGCAGTTCTATGTACGAATAAGCTTGAGGCAGATGAGAGGCCCCTGGTCTTTGCCCAGCTCTGTCTAAAAAGACTAACAGGCAGCAGGAAGAAGAGGAATGTGGGAGCTTCCTAAGCCCTGTGTTCCCTGCTTCCTGCAAAGGAAGGATGTTGATGGCCAGAGGTGAGCAATGGACAGATGCTCACCTGCTGCCCTGTGGACCATCTCCTAGGGCCTGGCTCTGTACTCCAGTGGGGATACCCAGGTTCCCATGGACACAAGGTTGGCACACACCATGGAGGATGTGTCGATATGGCAGCAGGAATTAGCAAAGGGTAGCAGATTGGCCTTTCCCACTGTCCCCACCCTAGTGGCCAGGGCAGAAGCTGTCTCCTCCCTGCTCCCTTTCTCAACACTTGAGTTATAGGAGCACACAGCACCCTCCGATTTTTTTTTTAAAAAAATCTGTAATTCCTGTTGATTTATTTATTTCTATCCCACCTCACTTTGGGAGAGAGGGATAAAAATATGTACTAGTTAGGTTTTTGTCAATTTGACACGAGCTAGGGTCATGTGGGAAGAGGCTCTCGGCTGTAAAAAAACACCTTCATCAGAATGATGTGTGGGAAAGTTATCTTCCTGGTTAGTGATTGGAGTGGGAGAGGACCCAGCCCACTGTGGATGCTGCTGCCCTTGGGCAGGTGCTCCTGGGCTGTATAAGAAAACAAATAGGGAGCTATGGTAAGCAAGCCAGTAAGCAATGCCCCTCTATGGCCTCTGCTTCAGTTCTTGCCTTGAGTTCATGCCCTGACTTTATGATGGACTGATATCTAATGTGTAAACCACATGACCATCCCACCTAGGCCATGGTCTTTATTACAGCCACAGAAAGTGAACTGGGATGGACTAGGTATGGAAATAGAGATGGGAAACTGAACAGAAGAGACAAGAAAACTGGGCTTCATGCTCCCTGTTGTTCCAATGCAAGAAGGTAAATTAGGTTGTTGCAAAAGTCAGTCTACAGTTGTGTAGGAATGCCGTGGACATCCAGTGAAGCGTGGCTTGTTCTGGTCCTGTGCCTCACTCCCTTGTCCCCTTCTGATAATGGCTCATGGCAGCCTTTGCTTAGCACTTGCTGTCGGAGTTCAGTGTTTAAAAAGGCGGGTGATTACCCAGTTCCTGTTCTCCTGTTCTCAGGCTGAGGAAATGTAGGCACAAGGAAACCAAGTCACTTCTCTAAGGTCACCCTCATGACTCACATCGTAAGTGCCGAGCCCAGGCTGAGCCCAGGTGGGCTGACCACACAGCACTTGCTTCTGTTCCAGAAGGTTTTATCTCTGCTACTGACACACCTTCACTTGTGCTGGGCTCCACCTTGTGTGCCAGGGCTCAGGCTCAGCACTTTTTTTTTTAATTGTAAACCTTTTTTCTTACCCTGTAACTTGATGGTGTTTTTCTCTCCTAATTCCTCCCAGATCCTCCCCACCTCCCTTCCCACCCAGCTTTATGTTCTTTTCTTTCTCACTCACTTTCAAAAACAAACAAAAAACAAAAATAAAAATAATCAAGAAACACATACAAAAAACCCACAAAAAACAAAAATCAAAATAAACAAGCAAAAGACCCACAAGACCAAAAAAAAAAAAATACCTAAACAAAGCAAAGAGAAACAAAAGGTCCACAGAATTGCCACCGAGTTTGTTTTATGTGGACCAAGTACTCCTGGGCATGGGGCCTGTGCTGAAGTGTGGCTGATACATACTCAGTTTTTCTCCAGTGGAGAAATTTCCCCTTTGCCATTGGGTGTCAATAGCAGATAGCGTCTTGGTTAGGGGTGGGACCCCGTGTGTGATTCCCCCTCAGTTGTAGGCCCCCATCTGGCTTGAACCTGTGTAGGTCTTGTGCATGCTGCCACAGTCTCTGTGAGTTCATATGCCTCAGTCTTGTGTCTGGGAGACTTTGTTCCCTGGAGTCATCCATCACCTCTGGCTCTTAGACTCTTCCTGCCTCCTCTTCTGTAGATTCCCAAGCCTTGAGGAGTGAGGTTCAGGGAAGACATCCCCTTTTAGGACTCAGTGCTCCAAAGTCTCTCACTCTATGCATATCGTCCAGTTGTGTGTCTCTGTGTTAGTTACCGTATAGCAGTATGTCATTTTGCCGCTATATCCCTTTATCAGAATAATAGTAGTAGGTTTTCCCCTAGACCCATGATCTATCTAGTCTCAGGTTTTGGGCCACCCAAACAGGGTCAGGTGTTCCAACTCATGGAGTGAGTCTTAAATTCAGTCAAAAAAAAAAAAAAAAGATGGGTGGTTGGTTACTCCCATAGCATTTGTGCCACTAATGCACAAGTATATCTTGCAGGCAGGTTGCTGCTGTAGGTCACAGGGTTAGAGCTGGGTTGGCATTTACCTTTCTCCTCCTGTAGTGTGCAGAGTACCTTCCAGTGCCATGAACACTAGTCAATAGGGTGAAGATTCTAGTTAGGCACCAGCTCGACTTCTCTATGTTCAGTGGCATAAGTGTTGTCTTCAGCAATAGGCCCTTACCATCAGGTTGGGGAGAGCAACTGATAGCCTTGGCAACAGCTTGTGATGTTTGAGCATTCTCATGGGGTCCCTTTGGCCAACAGCTCAATAATATATAACTCATTCCTAGACTGGAGGTTTTGCTCGGTGGCATAAGATGTCTAGTTTAGGTATTCTCTCCCTTATTAGGTCACTCCATTTATGTTCCTTTCATGTTTGCTTATATTTTAAGAAGCTACTAGAGTACTAGGCTTCCGTATTATCTCCAAGTGGCCTCTAGTGTTAGTTGCTACTCCCCTGCCCTCCTACTCCCCTCCCTATTTAATCCTCCTACTCTAGTTTTCCCTTTGTCCCCCAATAACACTGTATTCTATTTCCCCTTCCTTGAGAGCTCTTTTCCTCCCCGTGGTTTCTTACTAGGTACCTAACCTCTGTGGTTATTTGAATTAAAACAAACATACTGGAATCTTAAAAGCTAACATTCACAAATAATACAAAACATAATATTTGTCTCTTGGGGTCTGGGTTACCTCACTCAGGATGATTGTTCCTTGTTTCATCCATTTACCTGTGACTTTGATAATTTAATTTTTCTTAATATCTGAATAATACTCCATTATATGAATGTACCACATTTTCATTATCCATTCATCAGTTGCTGAACAGATAGGCAATTTCCAGTTTCTGAGTATTGTGAATAGAGCAGCAATGAACATGAATGAGCAAGTGTCTCTGTAGTAGGATATAGAGTCTTTCAGGTATATGCCCAAGAGTGGTATAGCTGGATCTTCAGAGAGATTGATTCCTACTTCCTGGGGAAGTACCACACTGATTTCCACAGTGACTGCACAAGTTTGCATTCCCAACCAGCAATGGATGAGTGTTCCCCTTACTCCACATCCTCACCAGTCTGAACTGTCATTTGCTTTATTGATCCTGGCCATTCTTACTGGGTTAAGATGAAATCTCAAAGTAGTTTTAATTTGTATTTTCCTTATGGCTAAGGATGTTGAACATTTCTCTAAGTGTTTTTCAGCCATTTCATCTTTTGAGAACCTTATTTTTTGAATTGGGTAATTGTTTCCTGATGTTCAGATTTTTTTAATTCTTTATGTATTTTAGATACTAACCCTCTATCAAATGTACAACTGGTAAAGATCTTTTCCTACTCTGTAGTCTACAGCTTTGCCTGAATAACAGTGTGTGCTTTGCCATATAGAAACTTTTCAGCCTTTTTGAGGTCCCATGCATTAACTCTTGGTCTTAGTGTTCTATCAGATTCAAGGCATCTGGTCTTATGTTGAAGTCCTTGAAGCATCTAGAGTTGAGTTTTATGCAGGGTGATAGATATGGATCTATTTTCATTCTTCTGCACACGGTCATTCAGTTTGACCAGCATCCTTTGTTGAAGGGACTGTTTTCTTCAATGTTTATGTTTTACTTCTTTGTCAAAAATCAGGTATCCATAGGTGTGTGAGACTGGATCTTCAGTTCAGTACCACTGATCAGCTCAATTCCATGGTCAGCGTGTCTGCCTTTATGCCAGGACCATACTGTTTTTATTTCTATAGCTTGGCAATACAGTTTGAATCTAGGATGGTGATACTCCAGCAGTTCTGTTGTTCAGGATTGTTTTAGCTATCCAGGGTTTTGTGGCTTGTTTGGTTTTGTGTGTGTGTGTGTGTATGTGTGTATCCAGGATGGTGATTTTTTTTTACAATATGAGTCCTTCTGATCTATGCAGGTACAGCTCCTGAGAACATCTCAGAAATCTCCCACTTCTTGGCAGAGGGCAGCTGTTATTATAGTACCTTAGCAGCCTTTTTGAGTCAAACCCATCTGAGGTCAGGGTCCAGCTCTAGAAAAATGCCACTCTCTGGATTTCATGGATTTCTGAGAGATTTCAAGCATATGTAATTATGATGGAAAGTATAATTGTTAGGATATTTGTTGGATAATTCTTTTTTATTTTTATGTTTGCTTATTTGGAGACAGAGTCTTTCTTTGTAGCCCATACTGGCCTAGATTTCATCTTCTTCATGCCTCTATCTCCCAAGTGCCAGGATGACTCTAGGCTGACATAGGCCTGGCTGGTGTTCTTCTCTTCTTCACGTTGTGGAGACTTTTGTCTGTTGGGTTCCGGGAAGCAGGAAGGCATAACAGCTCCCACCTCCCACCCCAGTATGGACCAGTCACAGAATGGATGATCTTATGTGTTCTCACACATCAAAGCAAGTCCTGCTAGCTCCCTCATGGTCCCCTGTGGGTTTTCCCCTTCTCTGGCTCCATGTCACCAGTATAGATGAGGCCCATGCACCAGGGGCATCATAACAGATGGCAGGCTCTGCCTTACCCTTGGCTTCTCTATCTATGTAGTAGGACAAGGAACACAGAGTCCTGACTATCTCTGACCCTTGGATCTCATCTCAACCCTTTCCTAGTCAGGGCCAGTGGGCAGAAATGATGCCCAGAGAACCATAAGGAGCCAAACAGAAGGGCTCAGAGACCAGGTATGCTAGTGAGAGGCAAAGCCCCAGTGACCCTTGAGTCATGGGAAGGGACATATCATCTTTCTGTTTCCTGTCCTATTCCTGGGCCTGGCATACAGGAGGTCCTGGTTGCTTGGCTTTATGGATGGATGAATGACAGAAAGGATAGCAAACAATATTATTGTTTTGATAACAATAATATTTTTGGTAACAAATAAGCTCCTAGAGTGTAGGGAACTTCCTTGAGGTCACAACTGACTGGGGCAGTGTTACCCCATTGACTATTCATAATTCTGACCTGTATCAAGTTCACACTCTACCTCTTTATTTCAGGGCCCCACGGGAAGACCTGGACTCCCTGTAAGTAACTCATTTCTTATCTCTCTGTCTCCTTTTCATGTAGGCACTGGGGATAAAGCCCCAGTACCCTTCAAGTACTCTCACACTGAGCCACACTCCAGCCCTCATCACTTAGTCTTTCTCAGTTTGTTGACTGGCTGGGCTGGGTGGCCAGTTCTTACAATTCTCTGAGTGTGACCTCTCTCTAGAGTGTTTAATCTGTAGTGAAGGGTAAAACCATTCCCAAGCCCTCTATTTTGGAGCACTGGAGAATATCTGGGATCTATGGCTACAGTTCTTGGCAACCCTCCTAAGGTATTATGCAGACAGGCCCAGTAACCTTCCCAACCCTGGAACTACTGTCAAATAGATAGTTTCGTAATGGGGGAACTGGGACAACTGGTCAACCCCTAGGTCATTCCCATCATCTTTCATGGCAGATGACATTGAAACTGCTGTTCTAGTCTTCCTGTGCCTTCTAGTGAATGCAAAACCTTTGGTTCTCCCTAGTTACCATAGGCTGAGTATCCCGAGGGAGTTTGGACAAAAGTGGGTAGAAGCCATGTAAATAGCCATCCCTTCCTGGAGCTTTAATAAGTCCCGGGCATTCTGAGCATCCCCAGCCTCGATCCCTGGATAAGTCAGAGAAAAAACAGTAACAACTCAGAGAAATGGGTATTCCCAAATCCATTTTAGTGATGGGAAGACAAAGTCTCAGGCTCAGGAGGGTAACATGCATAGTTCAACCCGTCCAAGTTTCCCAGTGGTGGATTGTTAATAGATAGATTATCACATACCGCTGAGCACTGCACTTTCTTTTGGCCCATGCCTGACCTTTATCGGAGTACCATCTTTAAAGTCTTCTGAGAGATGTGTCTGTTTAGATAAATGAGCTGAGGACTGGATATAAATACTGTGGGATTTGGAGCAGGGAGTGGCTCAGACAAGGTGCTGTGTCCATTTAAAAGGGGGTTAAGGGAAGGCATAGATGGGTTTTGGAGTACTTAGGCAGGGTATGGAGTGGATGCCGGGGAGGAGGCCTTACAGGGGGGGGGTATCTTTGATACCTACCTCTCTCCCCTGTCTCCCTTTGCTAAAGGCCACTTCCATTGGATTCTAGAATCTTCTGGAGATAAATTATAATAAAGCCTTTCGACTAATCCAACAGCTTCTAGAATCCATCACTAGTAACATTATTAGTCAAGTACACGTGGAAGCCAGTTAGGACTTAGCTGAGATTCTCCCAGTGTTGCAGCTCAGCAGGACTGGTGTCTTGATCCCAGTGAAATCTGAGCAGGGCTATGGTCAGGTGACTGAGAGGAATGTGGGCGGGCTTTTCTGAACACTGTCCACCTTTAAAAGGCATTTTGGGGGCGATTCACAGAGCAGAGGATGCTGCCCAATTTCCAGCCACTGGCCTTTCCATGCTTGTCCCTAACCCAAGCTTTTTATGGCCAGGGCTGCAAAGAACATTATTTTTCCAAAAGAAAGGAAAAATAATCCAAGACCCACAGCACCCTGGAATATCATTCAAGAGCCCAAGCGTGAGTGGACTGTGAGGTCATCAGAGTCAGAGCTGACAACAGGCACGGGCCTTGTGTATCCTCAGTGGGAGGGGCAGTGCCACTGGTTGAGGGTCTGCACTTCCATGTGAAGGGTTGTGAGGTGGCCCACTAGCAGGTACACCCTTGCTGGTCTGTCATTAGCATATAAGGGACAGGAAGAGTAAGCATTCATGTAGGACCATGGCGTAGGACTGCCAGCTTCTGCTTTGTTTAGTCTATGCCATTTCGCCCAACAGGCACCAGATGTCAGGTTCTTGGCATAAGGCAGGAGCACCCCATGAGGACCTCACAACCCCAAAGCTCTCAACCTCCATCTCCCACTCAGTAAGACTGGTGCTCAGGGAGGCTAGGGAAGCGATCGGTGCTAACAACCAACGCTGTGCCATTCTTAGCAGAACATCTTTTGCTCTTGATCTTGACAGTGTCAGCCTAACAGGAACTGACAGTGTTTCTTGTGCATCCTACATGTCTTGGGATGCCGCTTGTCCCTTGAGGCATTTTGCCTCAGCAGATCCAGAGTCACCCTAGAACCCCCCCCCCCCGACACACACACCAGGGAAATTTCAGGGCAGTCTCCTGTCCAGGAGGCTGGACATCATCTTCTATACCCTGTTGCTCCTCATCCTTTGAGGCCCCACCCCAGATTTTTATGATGTCTGCATGCCTGTGATTACAAAAAAATACTTTCTGCTGAAAGTGGGACGAATGAAAACTTCATAAGCAGATTTCCAGAGTTAGAGGATGTAACCCTGGCTACAAAACAAAGCATGTGAATTCACACGCTGGAGAAGCCTGTGAGGAGCGGGGGGGTGGGGGGGCAACGGCCCCAGAGCAGAAGGAGAATCAGCAGAGCAGGGGCATTGCTTCTCTGGCTCTGGCAGGCAGACCTAGGGAAGCCGTTCATCCTTCTTCTTGCTCTGTGTCTTCAAGTCAAGGATAATGACTCCTAGGCCCATTCTGGCTATCCCTGTTGGGTTGCCATGGCACAAACCTAAGGGAGAAAGGGCCTTGGAGACACCTAAGGAAACTGAGGCCCAGGCTGATGATCTCCTGCTGTAACCTTCATTCTATAGCACCATGCTTGAGTGCAGACAACCATAAGTGAGAGATGAGAAGTTTGGTTTCATCCAGGCTTTGAGGTCCTGACACTAGTTAGTGAGGTCTCCTGGGAAGTTCATCTGTGACGTCCACGTGACACTCGGGACCACTCCAGATTTTGTCCCAGCTGCCCCCAAATGCTGCCTAGCTGTGTCCCCAAGTCACGCGTACACGAACACATGGGACTCTCTGGCAAGTGGCAGCCACATTGACTATTTCTACCTCCTTCATCAGGGGGACAAGGGTGCCATCGGGATGCCTGGACGTGTGGTGAGTTGGCCCACATGTCCCTGCTTGGGGGGGAGCATGGCTTGCTTCTCCATGCTAGCTTATCCTCAGTACAAGGTAAAGTGCTACCCAGGGCAACTTCAGGAGGGCCAAGGAAAAGGGAGGACACGTTATTCCAGTCTCCAATCTGTATGAAACAACACCTTGCAGTTCACCTGCATACATGATTTCAGTTACTATAGTCAGATATTTCAAGAGAGATCGCATCTGACCAACCTCTTAGGAAATATTAAGCTTGTACTATTTAATACAAGTTATCGTTTTAAATCTCTTACTTTGCCAAGACACAGCATACATAAGATCCCATGCAAACTAGTGTTTTCTGTCACCTGCTGGGGTCTTGGAATGCATTCTTGGAGACACAGGGACTAAATACTCTGTGGAACACTGGGCAACAGAGGAAAAAAAGCAAGAAAGTCACTGGACACACAGGGATAGAGCGAGACCTAGGTATCCCAAGACACCAGCTGCCCCCACAACCATCCTCAGAGCAGCCGCCATCTGCCATGGTGTCCTCTGTGGATGGACGCTGCACTCAGAAGTGCCAAAGACAGGACTTGGTTCTAGGCGGTCCCTCTAGGTCCCCATGAAGGTAGATACGGTTAATATTTCCTTCTTGGAAAGTGAGGGAAGAACTCAGGGGAGATGAGAATGGTTGGTCAGAGGTACGAGAAGGCTGGATCCAGGCACTGAGTCCCTGGCGTCAGCCTCAGGATGAAGCTCTCCAGGGTCTAGAAAGACAGAAGCGTGAGGTGGTGAAGGGCATTCCTGCATCAGGATGTCGCCAGGACGTGGCCATAGTCAGGGCTGCCCATCTCATCTGACTGCTAACTACCCACCAGCCTCAGCTTTCTCCTCCAGTGTGCTCCCGCCAGCCGCCATCACTGCTGGCTTTGCCTATGACTCTGTAATGTTATTGGCCTTAAGCATGACTGTGACATCCGTGTGTGAATTTGCATGGCTGGAGCAAGCATGGAGTTGGAGTACCCAAAGCTTAGGCAATTCTTGCTAGTACTGACATCACGCTGAGTATTAAACCAAGCCAAAGAGCCTTCACATATCAGCTCATTCGGTCCTCGAGAGAACTGCATGCTGAGAGGCACCATTGCTACCCCCTCTGCCCCCCAGTACTCCAGATGAGCAAGCCAAGGCTTAGAAGGTAAATGTCTTTCTCAGAGTTATGCACTAAGAAGTGATTAAGCGGGTACTTGACACAGGCAGTCAGGCTCCACATCTGGGCCCTGGACCCTGGCGGTCTGCCCTTAATATCACAGCTGGAAGGAGAGTGCCCTAGAGGCCTGGAACATTCTAGAGTTCAGTTCAGGTCCTCCATGCAACCTGAGCTGTGAGAGGCCACTTCCATGGCACTGGGGGTCACCTTAGGTGATGCCATTTTGCCCAACATTTACCAGTTTCTGGGTAAATGGTATCTCATGGGGACCTCAGCAGCCTCAAAGCTCTTGCCCACTGCTCCCTCACCCCTGCTACACACACACACACACACACACACACACACACACACACACACACATGCACACACACACGCACACATGTGCACACACACACAGTCAACAAAACTTGGTACCCAGGGAGAGTGGAAAAAGAGTCAGTGGGTACAACAGTGTTGTACCATTCTTCATCGTAAGGCTACCAAGACTTGTCAGAGTGTGGGAGTCCTGCCCACCTCCATGGAGTGCTCACAGCACTTCTAGACCAGGACACCAGGCATTTTGCCTGCCCCATGGTTCTGCTCCATTCGTCTATCCATTAGACACTGGGTCTCTGTGTGCTGTCACTAGATCCCATCCAGAGATGAGACATGACCCTTCCATCCTTCCGCAAGGCTTTGTGTTGTATGCACCTAGCGAGGCACTGCCTTTGCTCCAGCCTTAAAGATCCCATTTTATGGGTAAAGTCTACCCAGGAAGCAGGCAGAGTTGATCCTCTACCCAAGCCAACTGACCTATGGCCCTTGCTCCCGTTAGGTAGGTGTTGGGAGCTTTTCCCCCTGGGTGCAGCAGCTGGCCTGCAGGAAGTCCTGCTGAGTGAAACATGTACTTCCGACTACTCTTTCTGCCCCCCCTCACCAGAGCTTCCTGTGTGGTGGAAATGGGGTGAGGTAGGGGAGCCACCGGAAGCCTCCTACCTCCTGGGCAAATCTCCGTCCCAGCTACTTTGGAGCTTCTTGCTGCCGCTGCTGCTATTTTAAATGTGGGATGGCCCATTTGGCTGCTCGCTAGGGGTCCTGGCATAAACCACTTGATAAGGACTGGAGTGTCCAGTGACCAGTAGGTGTGAAATTCCTGGGTCATTCCGGCACTTCACCAGAGGTGGCACCACTGACCTGTTGGGAGCTGGGTAGTTTGGAGCTGTCTGTCCATTGGCCACTGTGGTGACAAGGGACCCAAGACTAGGTATTCAGGTTTCTTTGTGTACTAGGCTTGCCCTCCATCCTGGCAGAATTTGTGTCTCCGGTTTCCTACCACTGCTGCCATTTTTCATAGTGCTGGTGATTGAATGCAGGGCTTTGAACTTAGGAGGCAAGCATCCTACCACTGGGTTCAATCCTCTGCTCTCTCTAGACTTTATCTTTGAGACAGGATCCCACCAAGTTGGCCCGAGCTGTCCTTGAACTCACTCTAGCTCAGACAGGCCTTGAACTTGTGTTTTTCCTGCTTCAGTCTCCAAGTAGTTGGGATTTCAAACCTGAGCCACTCAGGCCCAGTAGCCACCTTCTGTCTTGTCGTGTCTCTTCCTCCCCACCCCCTATCCCCCCATCCCCTCATCCCCCATATCCCCCCACCCCCCACCCCTGCATGCCTAGAGCTCCTGGGGTTCATGATCACAAGCCATTGGACCTTGGCTACTCAGGGAGGTTTCCTGACTAGGTTGGGCACTCTCTCTGTCTCTCTCTCTCTTTCTCTCTCTCTCTCCCCGCCCCCCCCCCCCCCCCCCCCCCCCCCCCCCTGTCTCTCTGTGTCTCACTAGCTCACTCCCTTGCTAGCTCACACGTGCACGCAGCACTTGGACAGGGTCCCCGTTTCCTCTCCTCGTGATGTAGAGCAGCTGGCCGTGCCTGCTGGCTGAGATGGCCGTCACGTGCCTGCATCTGTGTTCTGTTGTGCTGTGTTTCTTATTTCACAGTGATTGCTTTTGCTCAGTTGCTGTGCCATTAACACGGATTCTTATGTCAGTGTCTGTCTCTCATCCTTCTTTTTCTCCCCCCGCCCCACCCACACCCTATGTTTCGTGGGGCTCCCTGCCCAGGGCGTCAAAGGTCAACCAGGCGAGAAGGTGAGTCCTTGCTGCCCCTCCACCTTTATCCCAACCTATTCTCTTACTGGAAGGCTTTCAGATTAACATCTTCCACACCCTGGTGTGGAACCCTGGGATTCCCGGGCAGGGTCCCAGCTGCCCTGCTTCAGTGTGTCTGCCCTGACTTGCCTTCACCGCATGCGATGGATTCCACTGCTCTGATTCCTAACTGTGAACTGTCACCCATCCCTGAGGAGTGGAGACTGGCTTGTCACTGCTGTGTAACTGGGACTGCCCAGGGGAACCCCAAAGTCACAGAGAGGGACCCTCCACCCACCTGGGAAGCCAGAATTCCTGGGATGGAGGGAGGCATGGGGAGGGGGGCCATCCTGAAAGAGCAGCCTGGTGGGTTCTGGAGATTTCAGAGTGTAACCTATCCAATCAGAACAAAAGGTAAGATCCAGGGAAGGACTAGGGTTTGTCCGATGTCCCCAGCGGTAACATAGTAGGGACCAGAACCTGGGATTCCTGGTCCTCAACTTTTCTTCCCTCCTCATAGACACTGGCCATATCAGTGTTATGGGCCTCTTTTGTCTGCCCCTCATCTCCTTTTTTTTTTTTTTTTTTTTTAAAGACAGAGTTTGATTTGTAGCTCAGGCTAGCCTAAAACTCCATGCATAGCCTAAGCTGACCTGAAACTCATAATGATCTTCCAACCTCCCAACTCTGCCTGGAGGCATGAGATTCCCCCAACACACACACACAGTTTCTGCAACAGAGTATCCTATCCCCAAAGTAATAACCAACGCTAACAGTGACAGTTGCTCCAAGCCTCCCGCACACTCCAGCCTCGGGCACACTGTGAGTATTCTTGTTTCTAATGGCCCAGCTGACACTGATAACCCTTCCTGGAAGTTTTACTAGTCCTCTGTGTACCAGGCACAGAGAAGGAAAGTTGCATGCCCATGGTCACACAGCTAGAAGGTGACAGAGCTGGAGAGCAACCCTGTGTGCTATGACTCCAAGGCTGAGGCTACTGACCATAGGACTGGCCTGTTTTCCGAATGGAGCAAAACTATTGGTCCCATCCTATAGGGGTGAAACTGTCAAGGAGAGACATACCGCTTTCCTCAGACTACATGGATTTTTTTCAGCACTTCCCAGTATTACCCCATGCGGTTTCCATATTCCGCCTATATGATAGGTGTTCTTTTCCCTGCCATCGTTTAGGAAATGAACACACGCGAATTAGTTTGTCCCAAATCACACAGTTGCTAAGGAGCAATGTTTCCCTTCAAAGTGTGCATTTTGCCCTCAGCTACGTCCACAACTTGACAGTGCTACACTTACTGGCTTGAAGCCACCGCTACTTGTATGTGAGATAGGACATTTAAGACCTTTAACTACGCAAGGGCTGCAGAACATTCCAAGTTCCAGCTCTCAGGAGGATTGTGTGAACTCAGAAAACCGCCATGACTTTAACTCAGGGCCCTGGGCTTTTTCATTCCCTTCCTGCCTTTGCTGTGGGCTCCTGGTGGAGACCCCTACATGTGGGGACCCCTCCCACATATACACCCCATGTTTACCCAGCTGGTTCAACCACCTGTGATAGCACTGAGGGCTACCAGCCAAGTAACTTGGGAACATGCATTGGGCTCAGCCTTCGTCCTTCTGGGACATTCTCTGGGATATCCAGCCTCGGGACTCAAGGCTGCTGGGCCCATACAGCCGGGGTATTGTCAGTTCTGACCCTTCTATTCTCATAATTCCGGTCTAACATTTGTAGGGGGTGCTGCCAGGTGAAACGGGAATGTCACTGCTGAATGACCTTTCCCTGTGTCTCCCGCCTGCCCCTCAGTGTCACGGACCCTGCTCTCCTCTCTGCACTTCCTGAGCCCATTGTCCTCCCCCACCCATATCTGTTAATATTTGCTGCTTCATTCTGCCCTTCTCAGCTCTAATCAGCGTCTTTGGGCTCCCCGTTTCCAGCTGATCTCTGGCCTTCCTTTGATCTATAGGGTTGGCATCTCCTCTCCTGAATGCCAGCTCCCCCGTCCCCTTTTGCATCCTTTTCCCACTACTCTCCCCTCTGTCCACCCTTCCATATACCCTCTGTCTCCCTACAGGGTGCCCCTGGAGATGCGGGGATGTCCATCATCGGGCCTCGAGGCCCCCCTGTAAGTTATTGCTGTTCTTTTGGGGGGTACAGAGGTTGGAAGAGTTAATGAAAAGAGCTTTCGGGGGAATGAGGGTGAGCCTTGACACGGGCCTCCGGGTGTGGCCATCCCATGTGGTGTGGTCAGTGCTGCTGGCCTTTGGCATTGCTGTTGATGTTAAAGAAAGAGGGCTGACTAAATATATATCTAGACTGCTGCCTCCTGGAAGGACTCCCGGGCCCAGCCTCTCACCACAAGACTCCAGCAGCTGGGAGGCAGGAGAGGAGGCTGCTGTTGTTTACAGGAGGGAGAAGCGCCTCCTGCCCTGGGTGGGTGCCCCGGCTTTCTTTGGAACTAATCTCCCCTTCCCGAAATCAAGAGAAGATGATACAGTCCGAGTTCACTGACCCCGGCACCCACTCCTGGTTCTAATGAAGCCCCAACCCACCTTCCACACACCCTAAGCCTCACTCACTGTCAGTACCAGGTCCTGGGAGTTAACTAGCACCTCCCGACTTCCCTCTGACGTGCTTCCTTAAGGACAGCCTGGCACGTGGGTGATGGATTCTGCAAGCTAGCGCGATGGGAAAGAGGAGAACTGGGGAGCCAAGGTACCCACTCACACAGCTTCCGCAGAACCAGTGTTAGGGAGGGCACAGGAATCCAGCATAGTCTAGTACAGCCCGTCGGAAGAAGAAACAGGTCCACAGGGGAGAAGGGGTTTGGCCAGGGCCTCCCTTTCCCTGATGAGGAGCGTGAGGAACCTGCCATATGATGAGGGAGCAGGGGAAGCAGGGAATGCAAAGAGGGGGGTAGTGGAGAAGCGCAGCGAGGAGCAGAGTGGTTCCCAGCCTTCCTAAGGCTGCCACCCTTTAGTCCACTTCCTCACATAGAAGTGACCCCACACACACCAACCATAACATTGTTGCTATTTCATGACTATAACTTTGCTACTGTTCCGAATAGTAATGAAAATATCTGATATGTAGGATATCTGTATGCCACCCCCAAAGTAGTGGCCCACAGGAGTAGAGGACTAGGAAGTCACAGTGACAGGCACTAATCACATGCTGGGCCTTCAGAACAGGCAGGAGGTGTCCTTTCCCCACATCCCAACACGTCATAGGAGGAACCTGGGAATCTCGCGCCCATACTGATTACCAGGCTCATTAATGATAGGCGCAGTTTTGTCCCAAGAGCCCCTTCCAGCTAGAAGTGTGGCCGTATAGAAAGGACGTTCATCTTGAGGGGAAGGTCATGGTCCTTGCTGGTGCCTCCATTGGTTTTATGACACTTGTTGCCCTGACTATGCCCAGAGTCCCCTGACGCTGACCACTGGTCATCAGCCAGAAGGCCACACTACCTTGAGTCCTTATCAGAGACCAAGCTACCCCTCAACTGCCCCTGCAGCGCCGGCCTGTAGAAGCAGGAGATAGGCAGACAAGAAGTCTGCTTGACATTAAGAGTGGAGGTCAAGCAGGCAAGCCGTAGGTGGCACTTGGAGACATGGAGACAGGTGACTTGCATGTCAGGAAAGGCCCGGGATAAATACTGCTCATCAGAACCAGCTTGCCTTTCTTTCTTCCTTCTTTTTTTTTTTTTAAAAGAATTTATTTTTTAATATTTATTTATTTATTATGTATACAATATTCTGTCTGTGTGTATGTCTGCAGGCCAGAAGAGGGCACCAGACCCCATTACAGATGGTTGTGAGCCACCATGTGGTCGCTGGGAATTGAACTCAGGACCTTTGGAAGAGCAGGCAATGCTCTTAACCTCTGAGCCATCTC